ATGACTTTGGAATTGCATTGATACAATTGAGATTTTCATTAAAATATAGTAGGGATATAGTAGTCCGTTTACATTTCCACAACAGGCACGAGCTTATCTGTCCACTAACTGACGGGGCAGAAGATTAGCATACCGTAGTCCGTATACAAGGTGTATGTGTCACGTGATCATAACAAGTGGCTAGTGACACATCGTAATGTATCCACATTTGGTGAGTATAGTTGAAAGATCACGGATCTGACACGTGGCTAGTGGACACATTATGATACATAGATGAACAATTCGAGAGAGAATATATGCAATTAGTGTACTTAATGAGAAGGGTAAAAGCACCAGGGTGAAAACCAAAGTATTTCAATAGAGTAGGATAAGACAAATATAGAGGGGAATCTAGCCCATATTTATTACATTCTCAAGGTGAAATTTATTCATGTTTTGACAATAAGAACAATGTACTTCCACTGTTCTTTTATTCAAAAGGCAACATACATGAACCAACACTCTTCTTTCTTATTGAACAAACTTAATTTCAGGTAAAATTAGTGGACTTGTCGACTGCTGTAACACTCCTAGCATTATGCTTTCCTGAATCCCAGAGCAAGTAGCCTTGTGCAAGCAACGCTTTATTACCCCGATGTGTCATGTTCCTGTAGCCGAACATCACTTTGTACGTCGCCTCCTGATTCAAGCTCGTGAAACACATTCTAGACGGGTTCACGGTTACATCCATAGCCCACGGCTTGACAATAGTCACAAAGTAACACTCTTTGGGTTCATCTACGTTTCTGACCGTCCGGGAGAAAGTCTGGGACGAGCCTAGCAAAACCGAGAATGTGGGGTAATTCAGCTGCCCCTGAGGAATTCTCGATGAGCAGTCAGTCGACTTCTGCGTGATCGTCTCTACCTGAGCTTTCGAGTAGCCCAAGCCGCACAAGAACCCGGCGTAATCGTCCATTTCAATGTCGTAAATCAAACCAGGATCCACCGCCCTGTTCGGGTTCACATGACCGGTCCCCGTCTCGAAGACACCAGCCAGGGAAAGCTTCTCGTTGAGAATCTCCGTGCCGCTGCG